ACATACGATCCACCTTTTTCACTTCTTAATTTTCTGTTGCAAGTTTGCCTGTTATAAAACAAGCTGAAGTATTTTGGTGTCAAACGATAGCATGAACATGGCACAAAATGAAAAAATAAAATACAATGGAATAAAATTTAATGACAATTATAACAGGTTGTGGATGTGGACAAATTGTTTGATTTCTAAATTATCTTCTTTATGTTCAAATCGTTGAGCCATCCGTAAAAGGTCAAAAAGCCAAACTTATCAAATCAAACATGTGATTCGTACCTACAGTTTATACTGCAAAACTTATTCACAAATATTGATTAAAAATGGGTTGCTTCAGTGGTTGTTACTCCGAGTTCAAATAAAGAATGTTAACAATAGCATTTCTGTCATATATGGAAACAAAGACGAGTAAACACCTGACATGTAGTACGGCTCAGTGGTTTCAGACTGCTAATCATAGAATTAAGAGCAGCTATAAAACAGGTTGTAACAAAAACTTATTTTGCCCTACTTGCAACTGCCTCTCTCCAACCAGGTGAATGGCTGGGCATCTAAAAGGACACAGACTGGATATCCACCTACAAGGATTACGAAATGGTCTGACTTGATGAAGGCGATTGTAAGCGCTTTGAGGCAGATTAGTATGAATGTAATTCTGGGCAGCGCGATTTGGTAGTGTGTGAATTCTATGTGCGTTTATTGTGCTCATGGCTCTTAAATTATTTGATTTCTTCCACTAGAGCAAATATTTGCTAATGCAAATGAACATGTGATTCTTCATGGAAAATGCAAAGAAAAGATGTTTACACTGTTCAAAATGCAATTAAATGTACTGAGTTTTAGACCAGTAATTATCCTCATGCGGCACACAGAGGGCGCTCGTCGCATTAACTGTAAAATAGACATTTGCCGATACCTTTTCACCTCAGCCACACCCTGATCATTGTATTGGGTACGTACATGTATGGCGGGCGCAGCGTCGTTCAAAATGTTTATCAGTGTTTATTTGAACAAGTCGCTTGGTTGCTAAGTTGGTATAATCTCGACCTTTGAGATTACAATGCAGCTGACGCGCAGGTTTTGACTATAAATTTATGAAACCAAACTTTGTGCATGAGCCCGTACTGCGTGAACCAGTACTTGCATAACATACGGACAACGCAAAATGTCATCTATTTTACATCATTAATAAACTTGTGATGCGTTTACAAGATCTACAAGCATAAAGTATTTTAGGACACAGCGCTGGGTATAATACGATATATCCCATCGTTTTCCTGTAACAGATTCAGCAAATTTTGTTGGGGTTTTCATGAATGTGAGCCACCTGCATCCATTTTAATGGAAATACCGCTTCGACATTCAAACTGCGTTTAACTTAATGAACCTCTTTGAAATGCCCCTTTAATGAATTTTGCGGTGGACGAGTTCATGCAAAGCTTGAAAATAAAACTTTTAGTAGTAAAGGCACATATTCACCTTTCAGAAAGCCTTCTTGTTCTTTACCAGTTTGCACGAAAACAGTTTACACTGCTTGAATATAATTTAAATCCATTCATTCAAATGCCAAAGCAATTGGTTTTATACCCTCACACCTATTTTCTCCGTACGTTAATAATGACTGTGATGTCAGGTGTTTACTCACCTAATTTCCCTTTTGTTTCCGTTGTACCAAAATCTGCAATTACAGAATAAATGGAAAAGTGTTCAAAACGATTTCGGTTACAATGAACACCTTAGACGAGTTTGCAGATTTGATTTCCCATGATTGTATTTGACTTCACAGAATATCAAGTAGAAATTAACAGTATTATTCTTATTATTATTTATTTCTATCATTATTTCTATCTATCTATATTATTATTATTAACTTATTTATCCTGGGGAAACCTCTCAGTGAAACACTGTTTTCCAGAGGCGCCCAGCAATTACAATAAAATTAGTTAAGCCTATCAAATATTATAAAATACTAAATAACTAGAAAATAAACTGTACTACTTAAGAAATCAAAGATTAAAATCCATGTACCAGCCATGCACACATATTTGGAAACTCAACAATAACTAACAATTCCTTATGAAAATGTCGTTTTATCTTGTAGGAAGTGTTTTTGGAGACAAGTAAACGAGCGGCAGTTGCAGCTTCATCACATTTTAATGGTCTAAGCCTAATTGGATTTGATAACATCTTAAAATAAAATGTTTCAATTATTTCAGTTATTACAAAGGCCTGCCACTGCACGTAGTTAATGCTTGATTTTTTTCAACCTCGTTCATAACAACGTGCGCACATATAAAAAAGACTCACTGGATCCTCCAGCATTCTGAGGAATTGCTTTAACTTCTCTTGACTTAACCTCAATCAAAAAAGATTTGAAGGACTCACCATTTACGAGTCTTCTGAAACGAGGTGCAGACCTTTTCGCGCCCACGTTGGTTCGTTTTTAAAAACTTTGAACTTTTCCAGTTTTCAGAATCGCAAGAAATTAATCAAATGATTAGATTTCCCTCGCAAAATACAATACAAACAAGAACCATTTGCACATCTGAAGATTTACCCTGTATTTTCCGAGCATGACCTTTAAATTACACTATGAATAATATACTGAATGTGTCATAAATCTGGAACAAAATTCTGGAACCATGACAACGAGCAAGGATTCAATCATTGAAAATCTTCAAAATGTATTCACATCATTCATTTTGAATTCTTCGAACATTGAAGCAATAAGCAAAGTAGCATGATGATGTTAACGGAAGAAATCCTGGAATGCAAGTGTACACGTATGATTGGAGAGCAAGACTTTTGATGAGTGTTGATTACGAAGTGTTTGGTTGCTGAATGGGTAAGTTATGTAAAATCCATAAATTGTGTATACAATGGGATCTGTAATGCTACTGAACCTCGAAGGAAATATGTAGTGAATAACTGCTTCCAGTTTCGTCTGTCGAGCACGAAGCCAATAGCTGATTGCTAACTTCCTCGATGGAGCCCTGCAGTTCACATATCACAGCCTGCTTACTACGTGTATGTGCCAAACTAAGATAACAATCTTTCTATTTCAATCATATCATACAGCAAGGAACCTTTACACCATAAGAACTTTTAAAAAGAGTACACAGAAAGTACTTTTGCACGTTATAAAAAACTATACTCTGAGGAAACATATTTGGCACGAAAGACAACAGTTCTGCAGTGTAGTTTGTATGGTAACAAAAAAGTACATGTACATGTATTGTCAAAGGTGTGCTGGCACATTATACATGTATTTTATATCGACGTGCAACAGTGATCAGAAGGAAAAGATGATCGCGAAATTCATTTATACACGAAGACTGACAGGCAGTGACGTCTAGACAATCACACTATGTTAGTAATCCAATATCCTGCTGTAAGTTTTCTCTGTTAAGATCAAATTTACCGGCAACAATTGCAATATACTCATATTGTACGAACTGTTATGAAAAAGATCTAGGAGAGGCACATATACGCGTACGCAGGAAAGTTCGCGGGAATGTTAAATCGCAATATTATCGAGGTGATGAAGGCAACACACGATGGAAGGAAATTTCACTTTGTTTTGCAGTATTACCGCAAGACTCTCCTAGATCCTCGAAACTGTGATTTCAGTGTTCAGCAACTAGTGAATTATTCGACAAAGCTGTGCCAAAGGGTTTAACAAGAAAGCGTGCACCATGACACCATGGGTGAAAACAGCTTCCGAAGTTCACACAGCGACACTGAAAAATCAAAAGAAACTGAAATGACAAATATAGTGATATGGATATTTACACCCTCCTCTATCCACTTCATCCGTAGTAAGTATTGGGGTTGGTGTCGAAGTAAGAATTGGTGTGGATCCTGATGCCAATGGACCAGAACCAGTGGTCACCAACGGAGTAGTGGAGCTTGTATTAAGTTGACCAGTACCACCGATCACCATCCATGTGGTTGACCCTGTAGTTGTTGGGTCAATACTAGAGGACACCTTAGTCGTAGAAGTACCTGTAGTTGACACCTCTGTTAAAAATAAGCCCGTGCGTCATGAAAGTGTCAAGTGCAGTAGGCCTTATGCTGGTTAATTAAGCGAAACTTGCACCGAAAATTGGGTGCGGCCGAAAACAAAGTAAATTCCGTGTCCCTCCATGAAGGTGCATGTAAATTATTACATGACCAAAAACCCAGCAAAATTAAAAAGGTTATACTGGCTTGCTTATCACAAGAGCGTGGATGGAAGCCAACACTGACTAAAAACAGCAAAGTTTTTTCATTGAGACCGTGCAGTTCAACAGACGAAACATAGATGATACTGCATCCAATTTCGACAGACTCGAAACATAATGATGTTAAACCTTGTTTACAACTGCACTTTCTACGGGAGGTCGACGGATCGTGTCCCAACTCACTGTCACAGGAAGGTGTGCGTGTAAATACGCATGACGTCATAATGCTTTAGGTGCATTTAGTGCAATACATGTACCTGCACAGACCAAACCGACATGATATTATTGCTTCGTGTAAAATACAGTAGTTGAAAGGCGTTCATTAAAAAAGTGACATCGACGGACAACATCACGGAAGCACTGGATGTAGACTACACAGACACGGGAAGCTACAAGTCTTGGGAGAAAGACTACTGAATAAAATTTACTGAGTGCTCCTTGTGGAAAGGACCTCACAAGAAAAGAGTGGGGGTATTTAATTTAATATCCACAAGACAAAATTTATTCAGATATTTTAGTTATTAACCAACTTTTCCGACTTTTCTTTAATGCAATATTCTACAGATGACCATCAGTAGGCTGGTATTTATTGCTTTATCCATTGAGAAATTTCTTAAAGATGCAAATTGCCGCAATGGGGCTCCTTATGAATAGAAAGTCATATGGACATGCACAGTACAGCAAGCTGTGTCACTTCTGTTTCCAATGTTTAAGCAGAATGATAGTGGTTAATGAAATGGAATAGGTGACGTTATTTCAAGCAAGGTTGGCCATGAAGATTACCTGTTGTTGCGCTAGGGCCTGGGCTACCAATGGTACTGGATTCAGTGGTTGACTCTGGTGTTGTGGGAGCTGTCATTTCATGCAAGACAGACATATTACAATGATGTTAACGGTGGGTTAAAGCAAAACCTCGAAATTAGAAAACGCATCCTTGCACTTGTTTTTCTACGCTACGATCATTTTTCCAAAGAAGGTTTAGCAAAGCCACGTCTGACATTATTTTGTACAACAGGAAAAAATGACTCAACCGGCAGTGACGCAGCATTATGAGAGTTGCTTCGTATGTGTACATAGTTGCGAGAAGACCAAAATTGCATTAGGGTACTTGAGTCGACAGTGTCTTTAAATACCGATCACACAACGATTGTCTGATTCATCTCAACAGCTCTTTACGATCAAACTGATGATTACATCTTGACCAGTCAAAAATGAGTATCGTGTAGTCAACTAGCACGCACAAGTAATATAATTATTTTGGTAAAACCTTAAACATCGAGTACTTGTTTGCAATGTAAATCAGCTTGCCTGGTGTTTTCGTAGTCCTTTTAACTGTTTTTTTTTCCATTTCACATCCTGCTCTAGAGGTCTATGGCGATTCATGATACACGTCTAGTATAATTTTATTCACGTACATACAGCACATCTGCATTTACATCACGTACGTAAAAACAAGGCGAAATGGAGACTTTGGCACTCTGCCAGCTACGGTATCGGGCTAAACCCTCCAACAAAATCTGCCATAGCTACCACACAATACGCTTATCATTATTTATGCGAAAACGCTATAAACATCCCCCTTGACCTTCTTGAGTAGTCGAATTCCGGACTCACCATTACAATAAATTTCTCCTGGGCGGCAGCCAGTCTGTGGAATGACATCATCGTTATCGGGGAAGTCCCTAAATTCTATCCAGACAGGGCGTTGTTGATATACATGTATCATGCTAAATACACAGACCTTTTATGAAACCGGCTGTGGTTTGCCCTACGCTCCATGAGGATAAAATATCACTGCCTCGCTAGGAATGCATGTAGCGATATATGGAAAAGAAATCAAAACTATGTTCAGATGTACTGAAAGTACAGCAGTATGGAAAGTACCTCAAAATGAGTCATGGATCGACTTCATTCAATTTTAGAAGTGCACACAATGTAGTCTAGGGTGTGCTCAGTTTTATATCAGTGAAAATAAATGGAGTAACAGGTATGCTTCCGAAAGACATGACCTTCTGCTCAAACATTCAATTATGAATTTATTTAAAGCTACAGTTAATTCAGTTCAAACAGGCCAAAGCTGGATCCATATCCTACAAAAATTTTTTTCAGTTGAAAAGACGGGAAACAAGCTTCAGACTGCATTGTGTTGATAGCAAATATAGATTCGAACAGCCTCTACACATGCATGAACATTGATGTCCTCGCAATGTTCAACCTCAACCCTGATATTAAAACAAGTTCAGTTTCCTCTTTCCACACGATAAAATCTAAACCATAATAATCTATACATTATACTGGACAAACCTAAACCCCATTCTTGTACATTTCGTGAAACCTAAACAATCCCTGATAACGCCTTTCCTCCACTCAGTATAATTAGGGTTCACGCAAGCCTGTTTGTGAATAACCACAAGGTAAACATCTACCTATTTTTCTCACGACATGTTAATGAAAATATTGAAATGATCATTTTAGAACAATTTCCAATATTTGTAATACATATATTTATAGGCCTCTTATGTTGAAATACATGTACATGTGAAATTGAAGGGGGTAAACGTCAATATTGTAGGAGGTGTGGTGTGTTGATTATAAATTTGCTTTGCTTGTGTTAACAGCCATTCATGTATGCATGTAACTACAGGCCACATGTACACATTGGGGTAATTCCTCTCATGGCCAGTTGTATTGCCATGACAACAGTTCTCAGTAATCAGGTAATGAACGGCCAAAACTTAAAAAAAACCAGTTTCCCTGTACTCTAACTGAAGACGTTCAGAAAAAAAAAGGTAGAATTTGCTTTTGGTATATGTACATGCAGCTACATGTACACTGTACATGTATGTATACAGTGTGTATGAACAAACGGGCAAAACTTCTTCAGACTTACTAAATTTCTATAACTGTAAGGAAAGGTAAAATGTCACCCTCTTATTTAACATTGTGCCCATGTCTTAATGGGCAATACGAACATGTGCATATCCACACATGGTCAAAATTCAAAGATATATTTCACAAATTACATAAGGTGGCCTTCTAAAGAAGTAAAAGTACAAACAAAAGAGGAATGTCAGGGGGTGCCAAGTTGCAGGCAAATACACACTTTATATGTACTCATACACACACACACAAAAAGAATCACTGCCTCAACCTGCATGTACATGTACGATGTACATTGTGTAAATCTAAGTAGAAAATCACTTCAAAAGATGTTGAATGGAAGAAAGTCAAGGCATGCTATTCTTCAAACTCAGCTGTGCTACCAGTAGCTGTCACTACGTAGCTGGCAATGAAGGAATTACAGTCCACATTGGGGCATCTTTATATCATGTACATGTACATACCGATATGTCAGTATAACACCATACTCATCATGCATGAATTAATTCTTCCGAGTACAAAGAGGTTTGTTCTATTTATAAACAGCTTGTCATCTAAAGACTTAATACAAGTAACCAATGAAGGAAAAAGTGAAGGCAATTTTAGCAAGTCTTAATAGTGTACTGTATCATATTTATCATTACTAATTCTGTTCTTAAATGCTGAAAGCCAAATACACTGTATACATTTAGTCTCAAACATAAGAAGTTGACACTTGATTAGTTGCTGATACATGTATTTTTGAAGGGATGCATTTTTCATTATGATGTACATGTACATGTACAAATGAATACAACTACATGTACAACCATGATAACTGTTATGAACACAGGTTGCTTGCACAGGTACATCTACAATACATGTACATGTGAAAAACATGCACATATACTTGTACGTACCTCCATTATTCTATCCACATGTACATTCAAGCACACTCAGGAATCATCTAAAAACATCGCCTATCACTACTTCTTTCATGTACAGATGCATGTACATGTACATGTACAGTGTACATACATGTATATGCATGTGCAAGTAGCTGGTTCATTATTAGTTTGGGCTACGTGTACCGTAAACTACATGTACATGTACACGCAAGTGATCATTGTGCATGCCATCACTGCGAAGAGTGCTCACTATTGTTATAACAATTGGTTATTGAAATGGTAACCCGGAAACATGCTGGAAAGAGCAAAAAGGTTATGGAACACAAAGACTGGAAACTGCAAAAACCCGGAACACTGGCAAATGCATCTACATTGTGCACATTGCATATTTTGCAAGAAACAGTGGAGAACTCACTCTTTCTCTCTCATACTGTCATACGTCTCTTTTTCCATGTATATTTATATGAGTCAATAAGATAACTTGCACAGTACATTGGTATTGCTCAGGGTCAATAAAACACCCTGACTTGGATCATCAATTTAAAAATGTTTTTAATCACCGATTTAAATAAACACTTTGAAAGCTTTTGCAAAAATGCATAACATGAAGTTCTTACATAGTTTTTCAAACAATTTGTAATATCCCAACATTTTGTAAATATCCCTATGTGAGACTTTCATTGATAAGAAGTATGGGTGCGCAGGTTTTTTTTTAAAATTCTAATCATGTTTTAATTCAACATATATGTATAAGGCATTCTTGCAACCAGTTTTTGTCAATAACAGTAAAGATTTTGGCTTTTTGATTTACTGGAACAATTTCTACAAAATCAGCATGACCATTAAACTAAGTAAAGTCATTATGCATAACGTATGTACATGTACATCTACTATGCTTCTGCTACAAGTACACATATACATGTACATGTGCCACCTTTGCACTTTCAGATGTAACATTATAGGCATGGCTTGAGCTGTAATGATGTCCACATAGCACTTGCATACATGTACATGTACAAAAAAATGTGATGAACTTGCTAGAAGTACATGTACAAGTGGACATGTAGTGTGGGTACATGTAAATAACTACATGTGCATGTATGATAGCATGTAATTTGGTAAGATTGATTCCAAGGGATGACGAATGAATCTAAAGGTCAAAAGGTGTGTTGGGTCTGACATGGAAGGACCCACATGCATGTACATTACATGAACCTGGTTACCTGGGCATGAGAGAACGTACTGGTACATGCATTTTAATAGCAAATAGACCTATTAATTCACCAGCTTAATGTAGATCAGCTATGAGCTGTAATGGATTGTTTTTGTAAATGGACCTTTAATTGTCCCAGTTACCCTCACGTGTACATATACACGTACCTGCAATTTTGAGTATTGCACATTTATAAACAAAATGGAAGAGAGCCTAAATGTTATAGTGGTTTAATAACCCTACAGTTTTAAGATTTTGGTGGTCTAATTTCACTAATTAGAATCATTTTAGTGAGTTACATGTATTAGGGATTCATAAAGCACTGCCATCTTCTGCTGGATGACATCACAGTAGCCAATGGTAGCATCAAAGATCAATCTACATGCACAAAGTGCACTTTTCCACGTACGGTCTACATGAAACCTGATGGGGACGTCTATGTTTCCCGCAAGTTTTAGCTTGAAGATGAAATTTTTATAGAAAGCTGCATGCATTTACAGATAAGTAAATTGCTTGTCACTACATGTAGATCACAATAGCTAGCTACATGTACATGTACATGTATGCAGACCCTCTAATAACTTCAAAAAGAAACTTGCTTTGAAAGACAAAGACAGGTGCATGTACAAGCAGCACTCCAAAGATACATGTACATGTAGATAACAGCAGATTAATGCAATTAATTCAGTACTTGCCTTCCTTCAGTGAAGACGAGTTGGGAGTTTTCTTTACAGACTGCCGTAGACATCAAGTAAAGCATGCAGAGGTGCATGCATTTCACGATTCCTGTTAATGGATGCATGGAACATTTCACAATCTTTTGGTCCCCCAAAACAAATGTTCTCCCCTCCATCAAAAATAATTGCCTCTGGATCCGTCTTTCAAATCGTTTTCAATCACTGAAATGTACACGTACATGTATGTGACATCTTATTTTGGGGCACAGTACCCTGCATGCCTTCCATTACCTACATGTACAATGTACATCAGCACCTGCTGTTTACATGTAATCAGGTACATGTAAATGGGGACTTTAATACCTGTACAAATGTTTAATAACGGTTTGGGTTAATAATGAAATAATATAACAATATCAGTCAACAACTGCAAGAGAAACTGTCAGCTCCGATATGATGTAAGATTACAGAAATCACTAACATGCACCGGTATACATGTACGGTACATGCACTGTCAGCCAAAAACAAACTATTACCTTGTGAATCACAATCAGGTTCCTGAGTTCCTAGAGGGCAGACACACTTGAATCCATCTGGTGTGAGAGTGCAGTTGCGACCATTTTTACAGGGATTAGATTTGCATGGATCTGCAAGAAATCAAGTGTGGTCTACATGTTTAAAAGTTCACATATGCCCATGTTAAGATCTCAAGTATGATGCAATGAAACAGAGAGTAAAATATGAGAAGAGTTCCAATGGTCATGGAAAAGATCAGCTGATGACATGGATGAGGAAAGGGTGATTTTTGCTCAGTTCCAACTTTGTTAAGAAAACAGTCACGTAGGCAGCGTGTTTCTTTCCTTACCTTTTATCTCTGTAATCCGGGTTTGAATCCCGGCTTCTTCCACATATGCATTGGGTTTCAGCCCCTATCTGACATGCCTGATTCTGTGGGTTTTACCAAGAATACTGTTCGCAAGGGTGACGTCAATTCAGTTTAAACCACGCCCACTGCACATGCACTGCACATACATGTACTTGTACAGTTACATGCACATGCAGTGATTCCCGTTAACATGGAATCAGTACCCCTGCTGATTCCATCCAAGTGATCCCACTAACTCACACACATTTTTAAAGGTACACAAGAAGATGTTACATTTTCAGTTTCACCAATTACACTAGAATTTCCGAGCCCTTAAAGTACAAACACTGTACCTACGGTACATATACATGTACATGTACATCGAAAAGCTATGATTTTTCAACCATTTTGGAGTTGCGGAACAGTGAGTAATAGCACGAGAATCCTCCATGAAAACATGTACATTGTATTAACATACATGTACATGTAGTAGCAATGTCGCATACGAGTGAATGCTTCAGTAACAGTATGTGTACATATGCCTGTAGATACATACATGTATATGTACAAATTTACCGTATTTTACATTTTTGAAATGTTGAAATAACATAAACCCTCCCCCGAGGCCTTTTTTTCTGTTGGAACCATCCTCAATCCTCCAAAATCCTCCAGTTTTAGACATGAACAAATTGCATGAGCAATCCTTTAAAATCCTCCAAAATGTCTTAAAATTTTTTTTTTTTTTTGAACAGCCTCAATCCTTCAAATATTCTGGCAATTCCTGTCATTATGTTGAGGCAGTACATACATGTACATGTATAGCACTCTTGAGCTGTGCGGTTGATGCAAAAGTAATATTGGGCTGAATTTGTGCTTGATTTGGGAAAAACAACACTAAGGATTAATCCATGACCTTCATTCCAGGCCACCCCTCATAATCTGCCATGCACTTTTGCCAGTGACCCTCAATCCTCCAAAACGGCCCGGAGGATTTTGGAGGGTTAAGGAGGGTTAATGCGCATGCTAAAATTAAATAATAAAAAGGTCTTACAGTAATTTGTGCTTGGATCAGCTGCACCATTTGTAGGTATCGGTACCGTACAATGCCAGAAAAGTTTCAAACATCTAAAACTGTTGCTGTTGACTTTGGCAGTTATTAGTGACCAGGGCTCACACCTACAGTACTAGCATGACTAGTATGATAAATCACAAGTTTGAAACTGTCCCAGCACACTTATTTTTTTTAATCAATGAATGCATTGTGCAATGTAAAATTTACAAATAGCATGGATTAAATTGAATATTTTGCTTACCGTCCACTGTGAGCATCACTCTTATCATGATTCCTGGATCGCCATCATAGTTAACAACTGCACACTTCAGTTCCTTTCCATTATATTTTGGATCAGCTACCAAAGTTGCATTACTCATGCTGGTTGTAAGTCCCCCTGTACCTGGTCCTGTGATGGGGTCTGAAACCAGTTCTGTTGGCAACTGTCCCCCATCAAGAGTCCAGGAGAAATTTGCAGCAGGATTGATGTCCTGTACTTCACAAGTGAAGATGTGCTCTGAAACATTCCTGGAAAGTGCTACCATACTACTGTTGCTTAAGGGTCTTTCATCACCAACTTTGAGCATGTTTACCCTTTCAGGTGCTGCTGGAACTGTAATTAGAAAGATGTTTTCCCAAATGCATTCTGGTTAGTTTTTTGTCACATTTTCAAAATATTAAACAGTTTTATTTTTTTTCAGGTTGGTACAAGTATTGTACCGGTGCGTACAACTACATGTACAGTGTATGTATACAATTTAAAGGTACATACGGTAGTAATATGGATTTGGTTGCCACTAGTACAAGTACAGTAGTTGGTGAAATGATCTGAAATTTTATGCGAGTGTCCAGCTTACAATTTAGGAGTCTTAGGGACATGTACATGTATACATACCGGTACATGAACCTGTACCATACATGTGCTTGTAATTTTCAGGTTAAATACTGGGTACGACTGTATTAATGTACATGTACACCATTCACATGGATAAAAACAATTAGGGAAATCAGGTTGGTGTAGTGATTTCTTCCTGGATTTGATTCCTGACTTGGTGCACATGTGGATTGGATTTTCAGTCCCTGTCTGATTTTGTGGCTTTTACCCAGAATATTCACCTGGGTTCTCCTCCCACCTCTAAAACTGTAACTTTTCATTATCTCCTCCCCACAAGTTTCTTCAGTCTTTGTACATGTACAGTGCCCAGTGGCAATGTTGAAGAATTGTTGGTTTCATTACCAGAAAGACTTGAATAAAAAATTAAAGCGATTCACCTGTTAGAACATACATGTATGGGTACTAAAAGTATACAGCAAACGCCCACTTTTTTAAGGTTTTGGTTAATGACGCTACATCATGTGGAGACACTGCGAATTACATGTGGTTTTATGCAATACATGATTCCTCTTTGGCATGCAAATATAATATCATGGAAGTGATATTGATAAGAGGAAAATTCTCTCTTCTTTTTGGAAGCTTACATGTATGTTTGGCAGGCAGAGAGACCATTACCCTGGTCTCGGGTGAGAACGCCTGACCACAGTTGTTTTTAATATGGGCATTCCACAGGTTTTTCTGCAGTACTATCACATTTTCTATTGATTCAATTACTAAATCAACCACACACACCCACAAATTTCAAGTACAGTTGATACATGTACATATACCCTGTACATGTACATGCAGTTATAACCATGGAAGTACATGTACATGTATTCACACAGATGTGGCCCACAAATATTGCAGTACACAATAAAGTGTCAAAAATAGCAAGTCTATGCACAACGCAAATTAGACACAATAAAAATGAAGTGATAGTGAATCACGCTTTTACATGTACTGTACCTTACATGTGCAAGTAAGTATTACATGTATCTATGAATTTATCATCATATTTGCAGTCCTCCCAATTCAGTCCCTAGTAACGTGCTGTTGTGGGAGTGATGGTATGTACATGTACATTAGTTTGCAGAGGATGTCACACCCTTGAGTTTTGAAAATATGATGAAGGCCAACATAACAGATTTATTCCATGTGGAGGGGACTGTATACTGTAGCTTTGCCCTCTAGTTATTTGTCAATTTCTTCCGGTAAACTGGTCAATCCCCCCCCCCGGGCAAAGCTCTCTTTAGTGCACTGACCCTTATTTTGGGGAAGTTTAAGATTCATTAAAAAAAAAAAAAAAACCATGCAAATTTGGCTTCGACCACGTACATGTACGTGTATGTATATGTACGTCATGTGTGAAAACACAGTTTTCCCTCATGAGCCTGTCAGTTGTGCAGCCAAAATTTAAAACCTTGTACGAGTAGGGTATTTACACGTACATGTACCAGTAAGCAAGAAGACTGTCTTACTGCTAGGGCCTGATGTCCTTTCCCTGAAATTTGGCAACTGTTACTGTTTCTATTTGATTAACTTGCATAAAAAACATCTACATGTAGTTTTGAATACTGTATGTCTTTCATTAGTACCACTATTTAGGCCTACACACTGTACATGTATTTGGCCCCCCCAAAAAAGTGAAAACCAACCATGCAAAATAAAATTTGTCAATAATGCAATAGTAAAATTTGCAAAGTTTTCAGGAACTTTATTTAACGAGTGTATATGATGTACACGTATGTACAGTGTTTGTGTACATGTACATGTATGTTGTACATTCACTTGGTATATCAAATTCATTAATGGAATTCTACAAATGCCGTGGTCCACATGTACTGGTAACAGAAACTGCACTGTTGTACAAAGTTCTAATCATTTCTATTTAT